GGCAAGTGTTGGTGGCCACATGGACATTGAAAGGAGGCAGCCTTGGGAGGAGGGGAGGGGGGTGCAGTGGTGGTGGTGGGGATTGTTGTTGTCGGGTCACACTATACTATAGAGTGGAGGGAGTGGTGATGGGAGCGGTGCAGGGGTCATGGTGCCAGGGGCCCTGCTTGCGGGTTGCTGGCTCATGCGCGGTGTGTTTGTGTAAAGTTCCATGTCAGCACTCATAACGCTCATTGGTGTTACAAGCAACATCAATTAAATCAATTTCCTTCATTTGACCAGGCGAGAGCCGATTGAAATCCATTTGTAATGTTCTCCTTGCGATGGGGAAACATTGGTGGAAATGCAATACAACGCAAGTAACTCGCCGTGTTTTTCATAACCACTGGCTGAAAGAGGGCCATTGCCCCACCCGCAAAAAAAAAACCGAGCCTAAAATATTGTTGTTGTTAAAAGGCAGTGTTTATGATGAATGTGGCCATGTGTTTGTGCTCGTGTACGCCTGCCAACAGTCTCTTTTTATTTTTTTGTTTAACTTGGTTACGGTATTTATGCCGGGCAGTAGGTACCGTCGGAATTTTTTTTATGTTTTACTCCACTGTAATTAATAACAATTGATCTCATGAAAACCTCTCTAGGCACTCAGTTTGGGGGAAGGGGGTTCTTTTGAGCATACTTCACCACGTTGGCCAGTGCGGATGGAAGGGGAACCGTTAGGATTTTTTACACTTATTTTTGCAACATTGAAGAAATGCTTGCTTGATCATTTTGTTCTGGAAAGCTAAAACAGTTTTAATACGCATCTATGTGGAGACAGAACGGAGTTCTGTTTATAGAGAGTAGCATACTGAATTCACGAACATTTATTTACAAAAAATCGTCATGAAGACCATAACAATGACAAACAATGGCCACCACTTGTGAAAGCTGTCACGTGGCATTTGTTCCACACTGTTGGAGGGCGCTTTTGGTAATTCCCCGCAGAAATTCTTAGGCGTCTGTGCTGAACCTCTCATCATCAGCAGCTATGCTAAATCCACTATTGGATGAAGGCCGCTCCCCCGCCCCCCCCCCCCTCAAGCCATCACCATCAGTCATGATCTTCTTTGGTTATTTCGGTAAGGTCACGTAGAATGAGAATAAAATAATAAATTGATAAAATAAAATAACACAATAATATTCTCACGACGTTTCGGCCACAACACAAGCGGCCTTCATCAGGTGAAGGGACGAGACTGTCTGGAGGACAGCGCTGGAGTGAAAAAGCCACGCTCAGATCGCGACCTTTAAGCTGTGTGAGAAGAAATCCTTGCAGTCACGAAAGCTTTAAATCGAAATCAGTCATGATCCCGTGATGTAACAATCTACCTAGCACCTGCAGACGAGCGTATTTAAACGTTCTGCAGTAAATTTTGACATAAGACGTTCGTGACTGCAGGAATTCATATTCTTTGTTTATTTCGTTAAAGCCACGTAGATAGAAAAATAGAAATAAAAATAAAGTGAATGAAAATAATAAAAAAACAAAAAAACATTAATGTAGACTGTAGCCTGGTTCTTAATCGAGTGAGTGTACTGGCAGTCTATAGTGTAGACTGTAGCCTGGTTATTAAGTTTGGTGAGTGTACTGGCAGTCTATAGTGTAGACTATAGTAATGGTTATTAAGCTGGGTGAGTGTACTGGCAGTCTAATGTAATTAATAACCAGGCTACAGTCTACATTATAGGCTGCCAGTACACTCACCCAGCTTAATAACCAGGCTACAGCCTACATTATCGACTGTCAGTACACTCACACAGCTTAATAGCCAGGCTACAGTCTACATTATAGACTGCCAGTGCACTCACCAAACTTAATAACCAGGCTACAGTCTACATTATAGGCTGCCAGTACACTCACCCAGCTTAATAACCAGGCTACTACAGTGTACATTATCGACTGTCAGTACACTCACACAGCTTAATAGCCAGGCTATAGTCTACATTATAGGCTGCCAGTACACTCACACAGCTTAATAACCAGGCTACAGTCTACATTATCGACTGTCAGTACACTCACACAGCTTAATAGCCAGGCTATAGTCTGCATTATAGACTGCCAGTACACTCACCAAACTTAATAACCAGGCTACAGTCTACATTATAGACTGCCAGTGCACTCACCAAACTTAATAACCAGGCTACAGTCTACATTATAGACTGCCAGTGCACTCACCAAACTTAATAACCAGGCTACAGTCTACATTATTTTTTAAATTATTTTTATTTTTATTCACTTTATTTTTCTATCTACGTGGCTTTACCGAAAGAACCAAAGAATACGCTCTGCAGTATTTCCATGGTGAACGTCTTCTTGTATGTATGTACCGTATGTTGAAACTTCTTTCGCACCGTACGTTAGCCAACCGTGCTAATGGGCGTGTTTCCTCGCCTGGCCCTGCCACTATCATTATTCTTGACTGCCGGGCATCATCTCTTCTCGCGACGTGTCACGAGAAGGGACTCGTCAATCTGTGGTTGTGGTGCTTATTATAATTTTAATGCCGGATTTAGTATGTGGTTGTGAGTGGTGTAGCGGTTTTTTTCAATTAAAATGTGTCATTTATAGCAGGTACTGTATAGCATACGACGACAATGGGGTAGTCACAAATGCAAATCAAAGGCACTGCCAGTTTAAGGGAAGATGGCTTTTGGGCAGAGCACCTCGCGGTTTGGAGGGAGGTAATGGCCTACAGACGAAGAACTTCGATGAAATGGAACCGATGGAGAGGATTTGCCCGCGAATATGACCACCCACAGAGAAGAATCGATGAGATCAGCTCATATGCAGGAGATGGATGATTCCACCGCAGGAACTATGACAGATGGGAAGATGGCTTTAGGGAGGCCTTCATCCAGCACGTGGGTAGACCACTGCTCGTAATGATGATGATGATTATTAGAAAGGGGGTGGTGTAGAAATTGTACATGGAGGAATAGGATAAGTGTGTATGTATGTACTGCATGTTTAACTTCTTTCGCACCGTACGTAGCCAACCGTGCTAAAACGGAGGTGTGGCGGATGGATAAACTAAACGCAACAAGCGGTTCTAAATAAATGAGTTTTCAATCTAGATTTAAAAGTGCATCGCTCCAGTGGCTTCCTAACATCTGAAATGTGTGATTTTATGCGGTGTAGTGAGGGGGTTAATGAGTGATTAACGGTGCATTTTAGTGTGTGGTTAAGTGACTAGTTAACGTATGGTTTAGTGTTTGCCTTAACGTTTATAGCGTGGTTTAGTACGTGTTTTATAAGTGGCTATAGAGTTAGTGTGTATTTTTCTAGATTTTAAGCTTTCGTGACTGCAATGATTCATACTCTTTGGTTTTTTCGGTAAAGTCACGTAGGTAAAAAAAATTAACAAAATAAATGAGAAATAAATTAAATCACGACGTTTCGGGAGCAACACAAACGTCCTTCTCAAGGTTTGTGCTTTCGCTACGTTGCCCCCACCTGAAGAAGGACGCTTGTGTTGCGCCCGAAACGTCGTGATTTAATTTATTTTTCATTTATTTTGTTTATTTTTTACCTACGTGACTTTACCGAAAAAACCAAAGAGTAGTTAGTGTGTATTTCGATTTAAAGCTTTCGTGACTGCAATGATTCATCTTCTTTGGTTCTTTCGGTAAAGTCACGTAGAATGAGAATAAAATAATACATTGATAAAATAAAAAATAAAATAACACAATAATATTATTGTGTTATTTTATTTTATCATTGATAAAATAAAAAATAAAATAACACAATAATATTATTGTGTTATTTTATTTTATCAATTTATTATTTTATTCTCATTCTACGTGACTTTACCGAAAGAACCAAAGAAGATAGTTAGTGTGTAGTTTAGCGAGTGGATTACAGGGTGGATTGATGTGTGGTTTAGTGATTGTGTTGGTACTTCAGTGAGTGGTTGTGCAGAACTATATTGACAAATCTTGTGATATAAGAGCTACATCATCAAGTGTAATTTCACGAGCTGTCTCCACATTAATATAACACAAGAGTCATGACAAAACAGTACTATACTGTAACAATAATTAGTGTTATCTGGCAGGATCTGCACTTCGATAGGCTGGTTCACATTGTACACTATACAGTAAAATAGTAATGCAGAACAGCAGTAATTATATATTTCAATACTATACAGGATACAGTATTGTATTATTAATACCGGAACCGATGTGACGTGACCGCGTGCTATATTGTGCACATTTCGTGTCAATAAACTACAATACTTGAGGACACAAATACTATATATGATTGTTTTATGTTGTAGAGGGATAGAGTTGGGATGAAAGGCAGTGAACAAAGTACAGTATCTGAATAGGCGAATGCATTGTGTGCATAACAATAGGGGCAATAATTAGGCTTGTGGATATACAATAACAATAGGCAATGCACTGAAATATAATGGGCAGTTGATGGACACAGCCTCTGGCGTGCCTGTGATGCGGGAGCGGTGGCGCAGTGATTAGCGACAACCCGAGTTCCATTCCCGCTCACGACCACCATCTATGAAACGGTCTTGGGCCTCCTCCTCCCCTAGATCGACTCGGCCTTAAAACGAGAAACTGGTGCGGTGTGTAAAAAAAACACATCAACGTTGGGGGGAGAGGTGGTGGAGATACAAAAGAGGCGGTGGTGAGGCGTTTGCTAGCCCCTCCCCCCCCCCTTTCGTAGGTGTTGTCGTGCCGGTCTTAATAGGTGCTCGCTAACATCAACCCCTGCACTTCCACACCCCCTCCCACCCCACCCCAACAGTCGGCTAAGGCTAGACGGGGGAGCTTTGTCTTTGTGGGAGAGGGCAGTGGGGGGGGTGTGCAGGGGTGGGGGCGGGGTAGGGGCGGGGAGGGGCGGGGGGTAGGGGAGGGGCGGGGGGTGCCCGGCTGTGCACATGAAAGGCGCCGCACATCCGGGGCCCTGCCCCATCTCTCTCCCCCCCCCCCATGCACTCTCTCCACTCCAGAGAGCTCAAACTCCTCCTCCTGCTCGTGCTGCTGCTGCTGCCTCCCCCCCCAACTCTCCCTGACACGCACGGGGAGAGAGAGAGAGAGAGGCAGCGGGCAGAGCTGGTTGGGCCAGTGAGCCAACACGAACAATTGCCGCAAGCACGCACAAACTTCCACCATTCAAAAAAAACCCCACAACAACGATCATTGTCGCACGTACACAACAACACTACTACTACCACCACAACCACCAATCTTCACCACGAGGAGGAGGAGGACACCACCACCACCGACGAGGAGGACGACGAGGAGGAGGAGGAGATCACCACCATCTTCTTGCCGAGGAGATATGGAGCCGTTCTTCTCATTGTGGCACCGAAACGCGCTGTCGCTCCTGGGCTGATCCGCAAGCTTCATCACCACCAACCACCACGCGTGGCCTTTTACTTCATAATCATTCGCTTTTCCCTACGGCGTGGGCTGTTCTGTTTATTTAAAACATTTATTTAAACTTTTCCTCGCTACCGCGACGTTGTGTGGGGGGCCCCCGCAAGGCCGTGAGAGAGATAGAGAGCGAGCGAGCGAGCGGTGAAATGAGACTTGTTTCTTAGTAGCGAAGAACTTACGCGAATGTTAACTTCGTAACTTTAATCGTCAACGCATTGGGTTTTTGTTGTTGTAATATAAGGTAGCCGCTGTGGTTTCTCTTAACAGTTTTTTTTTAATTTAGTGACCATTTAAGTGGCGAGTGTTTGTGGGTTTATTTTGAAGGGGGGTTATTTTTGGCTGCCTCAGCCCGGACCACAAAAGTCGGCAATCTCTTCATCATCTTCATCATCATCATCCTCGACAATGGAGCCCAGGAGATGCTTGATACTTCGGCTGATGACGGTGGTGATGATGTGCAGACGAGCCGGTAAGGAAGGGATGTTGATTGTGGTGTAGTGATGGGAGGTTGATGTTGTGCTGTGTTGTTGACCGAGATGGTTATTGGTACTAGTGTTGTGTGTGTTGATGGTGATTGAAATGGTGGGTGATTTGATGGTGTGGTTATTTATAATGGTGCTTTTGCGATGGTGGAGTGGTGGTGGTGGCGATGACGCTTGTGACGGTGATACTTTCATGGTGTTAGAGGTGCAGTTATAGTGCTATCATTGAGTGGGTGAAGAACATTGTGGTGGTGGTGATGATGGTGGCGATTATTATGTATGTCGTGGTACTGCTGGTGAAGTGATTGTGGTGATGGTTTCGTGATGTGATGGTGGTGATGTGGTTCTCGCAATGGTAGGTGATGTTGGTTTTGTGATGCCATTATGGTGTTGATTTGCTGGTATTGATGCTTCTGAAATCTGCTAGTTACGTGATGGTGGCGGTATTAGGTGGTGATGATTGTTTAATGGTAATTGTGGTGTTTGGATGAGCTGGTTGAACCGAGTTAGTCATGGTGGTCACGGTAATGTGATGCCGTTGTGCTGATAGTGACTTGGACAGGCGTGCAAGAGCAGATTGATGGCCTTGATAAGTTGATGGTGGTTGGTGTTAGTCGCGTAATGAAGGTGGCGTGGATAGGTTGTTCAAAAGAGTGGTCACTGTGGTAAACGTTTTGATGAACGATGGTAGTGAACTACTGTGGTTATATTGATGATTGTGGTGAATGTAGCTATGGTAAAAGGTGTTTATCGGTAAGAGGGATGATGGTGAAGATGTTAAACGTGGAGGAGATATTTGAATGTGGATGGCCTGGAAGATTGCCATGGTAATGGTGGTAATATGATTGTAATAGTGGTAATATGATTGTAATAATGATTTTCTGATCATAATGATAATTTTGGTGGTGTTGATACACTTATGATAACAATATCGATAGATAATTTACCGTGTGATTGTTATAATACTGCAATGCTATGGTTATTTTGGTATTGTGGTGGTGATGATGTTTGTGGTGATTGATGGTCTTGGTTATATTGATGGTCTTGGTTATATTGATGGTCTTGGTTACATTGATGGTGATGGTTACATTGATGGTGATGGTGTGTCATGGTCTGAACTGTTATCTCTACTGTGAAGTATAGTGTTCTTTTGACAGTCAATGGGATCAGAGTGGATATGTTCACTGTGTGATGGAGGAGTGAATTGGTGTGAAGCTACAAATCGCTTGCCATATGTCACCCTCAAAGACAATTGGCCATTATTACGCCCCAATACGGTACTACATTACAGTATTATTGTTTTCATCATATGTTTAAGAGTGTTGTTTTGCACTGTAATGTACTATATTATTACACTGCACATTTAAATGTGTATGGCTTAGTCTAGTAATGGTATCCTGGAAGGTTGAGTGTTTTCCCAGGATGTAAACATTTTTGGCGAAAATTGTTGCAATTAAAGCCAATGAATAGTAGATATTTTTGTGCATTGAGAAATGCATCATTTTAAAAATATAAAACATTGAGTAATGTAGTGAATGGGCATACCATTTTAATGTTAATTTTATGCTGGCCAGAAAAAAAACACTACTTTATACGTGCACACAATAGTACATATTGTTGTCTTATAAAGTTACTTGAAGATAAATTAATCTAATTTTGGGTTTTTTTAAGTTAGTGACTTGTTTTCGGATGGTTAAGTTTGGCATGTTTTTGTTTTTTAAATTTATATATACGGCCTTTTGTTAATCCACCGATGGATGTGTTTGACTCGCGGCTTGCTTCACTATACTTCACCGCACTGGTCATTTCAAGTTGGTGAATTAGTCCTTATCAAGAAGCCAACCTACAATGTAAGAGTTTGTGGTGCGTTTGCTGTCTGCTTGGCGACTCGGTACCACCGACTAGTTTAATAGTATTTTGTTTAGGCACCGTGAAGTGGTACTCAAATTCTGTTTACATCCCTGAGACAATGTTGGAAATGTCCCCATTAATATGTCCGGATTAGTCTATCCATTGACTTATTTGGCCATACCCACTCCGGTATCTGTTTTGCCACGGCAGTTCATGTTGGCATACAAGACAGTCCCATAAATCACACGGAATGCAACCAAATTTCATCACGTCTCAGAAGATTAGGCAGGCTTGAGCTCCAATCCACTTGGAAGGATGACCAGCATTCGCAAAAACAAGGTTTTCACAGTACTGTGGGGCCACGTGGTGGGCAGAAGATAGCAGTATGGCAAAATCCGTTGCACTATACCCCTCTATGCCCCTGCATCAATGTTCCCCGCTTTCACCAATATGCACTGACCAGCATGGTGAAGTATGGTCGAACAATCCCAGTGACACACATGGCATGGGGAGGCTCTCATCCAGCAGAGGATTCACAAAAGGGGATGTACATGTATTTTATATATACTGTACTGTACATATTCATGTAAGTGGCAGAGTGTGATAAATGGCTTTTGGGCAAGTTATGATAACCATTTTTTGTTGGGTATATGGGAGCCTATAAAGTCTTTGTGGTAGGAAAGGTCACCATCTCCAAATATTAAATATTCGGATCCAAAACACTTGACACCAAGAAAGATGATAGTTTACTATGCCTCTCTGAAATGTTAAGTCCACATCTGAAAGGGTAAAATAAATTAATTATCATACATGTGAGTACGTCAACCGCACGGATGTGCTCTCAGGTTGTTACCACGTGTTGTTCGGAGCCCTCTAAATGTTTCTGTGCGCTAGCGGAAGCTTGTTTTAGGAACTAAATTTTGCGGATTTGAAAGAGCTTCCATGGCACATGGAGCAAAGCATCAGACATTTTGCAGAACAATACGTGGTACAACCTAGAAAACCTATCGGAAAGCTATACAGCATAAGCGTGAAAACCACCGGTAGTTTAAACCCCTCCCTGAGACCTCTAACATTTGGCATTTAGATGTATGTTCTCTAAATTATACATTGCCGTGTATGTATACAATATAGCGAATGTTATACAATACACCACTGGGCAATTGTTTTTTATGTTATGCATGGCTTGGCCGGAGCAATCTTTAATAAAAACGTAACTTCTTTTTATTTATAGCATCTAAAAACAAGTAACATTCCTATGTTTGTTGTGGAGAGTTATTCGCCATTGCTCCTCGTTTTAAAAGTATAAAGTTTACAGAGAATAACATTGTTTTGTGTCGCATTGAGAGAGAGAGAGGGAGAAAAAATGTTGCCACAGTATAATTTCCAGAGACCTCTCCTCAAGCCATTGTGATCTACAAGAGCCTGCAACAGGGCCATAAATAATGCTCTGAAAGAGCATTGTGCCTTTGAGACTCAAACGCCTTGGTTTTATTCTATGGGCCCGAGAAGAATTGTTACCATGTGAGGTGGCAGAAGTATCGTGGTAGCATGTTTTTTTTGCCATCAACATCAGCCATGGTCAATATCTACTGCTGGATGAAGGCTTCCCCAAGCTACTGGTTACTGTATTATATCGCGATAATGTAATGTACCTTATTGTCTGGATTATAAGACGCACATTTTGTCGCCGTACGTGTTTACTAGCAAATATGGGGGGGGGGGTGCATCTTGTAATCCAGTAGATGTGTGTGTATGTGACCAAAATTGTATAATTTTGGCACTGCACAAGTTTCAAGTTTTGGGGTGCGTCTTACGTTCCCAAAGTGCCTTATCTGGAGCATGCCGTTAGTAATCCACCCAGTGACTGCACATGAGCTGGTTTCAAGTGCTCTGTCTCCTGCGAATGATTTCCTCTCGGTCACGTTCCATTCCTTTTGGCTGCCATTCCATCACTATACTCGACTCACGGCTGTCATCCCTTCCTAGTAGCAACATGCCGTGGCCAAGCTCACTTTTCTTAAGTGCTTTATATGGCCAATGAATGTTGAATGATATGCTATCATATTTAAGGGAGTTGGCGTGGGCACAATGGATCACACTGCGCGATGAACCCTGTGACCTGAGTTCGTTTCCCAGCCACGGCTAACAGTGGCAGCATGTTCGACTATTCAAGTGTAGGTTGGATTTCTGACAAATAATCTCTTATACGTCATATAATAACTTCACCATCCCGTACTGGCCAGCATGATAAAGTACAACTCCCCACACACAACAGGGAGGCCTAAACCCCAGCAGTGGATTGACAAAAGGCTGTGTAAATAAGTTTTTCCTTAATTTTTTTTTATTAAATAACATCCGTGCCGCTCTTGTGTTCAAAAGAACGGGACTTTAACCGACTCTCTTTTTTTGGTATGGGACAAATTACATATCCGCCAGGTTCTGAACAGGGGTACCCCGTGTGGACTATTTTGACAAAACAAAGTGTGCCGTACCTTGGGCCCGCTCTGGGTTTGCTGCCAAGATCCGAGTGTGCTCACGACTTCATAAGCGTGCTGCTGGGATAAACGGCGTGGCAGCAGCAGCAGCACACGGACCACGCTCAGCCATGTGTGTGTGCCGAGCCCCTGGCGCCTGGCCAATCCGCCTGAAGCGGTCCTGACGGCACTAGGTCACCACACGCACACGCGTACGTACACAAATAAAGACAAAGACCCCCCCCCCCCCCCACACACACACCCTTATAGCCTTAACAGACTGTTTGGGGCAAGTGCTGTTTGCGAGCACCTATACTGGCACGGTAACCCGAGGGAGTAGTGGGTGGCCAGGACCACACGCCCGGCCGCCTTTGTCTCCGCAGTGGCGATGATTGTATACACCGCGCCAGTAACTCATTTGAGTCGATCGAGTGGGGGAGGCTCATGACCGGTGCAGATAATCGTCACTGGTGTTGGCCTTGAGCGGGAATTGAACTCGGGTAGCCGGGTTCATAGTGAAGCGCGCTAACCGCTACACCACCGCGAACCGCTAAGCGACTACGCACGCACACGAACGCGCATGCACGCTTACCACATGCGTTGTATTTGTAATGTATTACATTACCACACAACAGTAATACAGTAATGGCAAGCTGCCG